GTTGACAGACTAGAGGGAAGGCAGCTGGTCAATACCACCCACTGTTGACAGACTAGAGGGAAGGCAGCTGGTCAATACCACCCACTGTTGACAGACTAGAGGGAAGGCAGCTGGTCAATACCACCCACTGTTGACAGACTAGAGGGAAGGCATTTCTGGTCACCACCACCCACTGTTGACAGACTAGAGGGAAGGCATCTGGTCAATACCACCCACTGTTGACAGACTAGAGGGAAGGCAGCTGGTCAATACCACCCACTGTTGACAGACTAGAGGGAAGGCATCTGGTCAATACCATCCACTGTTGACAGACTAGAGGGAAGGCAGCTGGTCAATACCAACTGTTGATAGACTACAGGGAAGGCAGCTGATACAATGTAGGGAAGGCATCTGGTCAACACAACCCACAGTCATCTCTTTCACTACTCTTTACCAATGAAAAGTGAGATTGACTATTACACTATAATGCCCTCATGGTTGAAAAGGTTAGCAGATTTGGAGATGGGATTCAACTCACAAATTGCATGTTGAACACCCAAACCACCAGTTCATTTGTAAAGGAATCATTTCAATGGTGGTAAATCAAACATATCTATTTACGTTAAAAAAAGTTGATTCTGTTTTAGATATCTTTAATGACCTCAAAAAACTAAAACTTTTTTTATTAACACATTACACAATTTGTTCATTTTTGGTCAAGTCAACTTCCCAATAACAGAAACCTTGTTTGTTTTGAATGCCATTTACCTAATAATTTCATTTCGATATTCAAACTTTGAACCCTGAACGTTTCATCTCAGAATAAATATTCTTAGAATAAAATTATAACTTTGATTATTTGACATAAGACACTGTAAAAGGAAAAAAAATGGATTTCAAATGATTATTATATCATATGTCATACAAGTTTTTAATCAAACACTACATTTATACTTACTGTGCTTTCCTAAAATATTCCATAGCTGGTTGCCACTGTTGTAGCTCGAAGTTTAGTGATCCTCGAATCCATGCAGTGTATGCCTGTTTCCATAAGCACAACAATTATTTTAAGTACATGTATCAAAACACGTGATAAAAATAGAGCCTTCTAAAACAAACAGTTTGGCTGATCCACATAAAAATATAAAAAATAAAGCCTTACCATAACTCAGTTCCTTTTTTTATAATTGCTATTTTGACTATGATTTTGAAATTAACGATACTTTATGTTTAAGGCAAATCATCTTTAGTTTTATAAATTAAAATCACATAATAAAAATAACAATATTTTACAACCATATCACACTTTAGGATAGTAAATTTAAACTTAAAATGTTGAATGTTTTATGAAATGTTCAAAAACCAAAATGAAATTTGTTCTACATATTAAAAAGGGATGAAAATACCTTTAATTTTTTTTTTGTAAATGTGATAAAGTGCAGTCACTGTTTAAATACTTCTAACAGTTTTGTCGATCTATTTTAACATGATTGGGTTTCATTTATCTTTTTCATGACACAAAATGGCTACATGTTCCTTATTCATATTTTCTATAGTGCAAGTAATTTATCTGGAACGTTTAGTATATTTTCTAATGAACAATTGTTATTTATAAATATGAATAAGGAACATGTAGCCATTTTGTGTCATGAAAAAGATAAATGAAACCCAATCACGTTAAAATAGATCGACAAAACTGTTAGAAGTATTTAAACAGTGACTGCACTTTATCACATTTATAAATATGCCGGTTGAAAATTTGACTGTAAGTGTTTTGATAAGTTGTTCAATGCAGGTAAAAAAAATCTAGACTCAGAATTAAAACTTAATTATGAAGCTTTTGCCTCCACCCCACTTAAAATTTTCTACTAAATCTAACAACTTGTTATATCATTTAGGTACAAGAAGTGTGGACCCACAATTACCTGAAAAAGAAACCATAACCTTCTGCTTAACCATATATTGGAGATTTTGTAAATTAAGTAATTATTTCATCATTTATTTCTTGCTATTTTTTCTAATCCTTTCACACCTAGTGAGTGATTTTCTTAGTTAAAATATTGTAAAAGCTTAAACTCTATATTAGGCCTACTAGTAAATAGTTTTATTAACTACTTTAAGAAGTTATAAAACCTAATTCAATATACGATCCTGCAAACATTATCTCTACAGTGAAAGATTTTCCCATGTTATCGATGATCTTCTTTTACTTCCACTTAGTTAAATTTTCAAAGAGATTTTTTCTTTTACCTATACAAATTTCTTAGTTTTAAGTTAAACAGAATTTCTGACACTAAGCTGTTTGAAGACCGTAATGATCTTTTAGAGGTTATAAGGGTAGTAAAAATAATTTTAAAAATACACACGAGTTAAGGATGGCAGTAAGGAATGGTAGCGGAGACGTGTTTTTGAATCTCAATTATATTTCCTGTTTTTGGTTTATATTAAATTCATTATTGTTTTATACTGCTGATTTTAATTACCTATGAACAATCAATGTATTGCACAGTATTATATATATATATATATATATAAAGACAGTCTATTCAGCTTATGAAGATATGGCTTCAAGTAATAGTGAATACAGCAATACATTTCCAATTTTTCAATTAAAGCTTCTCAACTTTGGTTGTTTGCATAACATCAACCATTAATCACATATGATACAATAAATGATAGTTTTTGGTTATTTCTTATGATACAATAAATGATAATTTTACGGTTATCTCTTATGATACAATAAATGATAGTTTTCTGGTTATTTCTTATGATACAATATATGATAGGTTTTGGTTATTTCTTATGATACAATATATGATAGTTTTTGGTTATTTCTTATGATACAATAAATGATAGTTTTTGGTTATTTCTTATGATCAACCAAAAAACTATCATTTATTGTATCATAAGAAATAACCAAAAAACTATCATTTATTGTATCATAAGAAACAACCAAAAAACTATCATTTATTGTTTTCTTATGATACAATATATGATAGGTTTTGGTTATTTCTTATGATACAATAAATGATAGTTTTCTGGTTATTTCTTATGATACAATATATGATAGGTTTTGGTTATTTCTTATGATACAATAAATGATAGTTTTTTGGTTGTTTCTTATGATACAATGTGTGGACTCCACTGGTATAAAAGAAATCTGTAATTTGATTGTTAATAATAATCTGCAAAAAACTGACAATTCCTACATTAAATTATTATATTACTATTCCTAGGTTATTTTATTATATTACTATTCCTCCGTTAAATTATTATATTACTATTCCTACGTTAAATTATTATATCACAATTCCCAGGTTAAATTATTATATCACTATTCTACGTTAAATTATTATATTACAATTCCTAAGTTAAATTATTATATTACTATTCCTCCGTTAAATTATTATATTACTATTCCTACGTTAAATTATTATATTACTATTCCCAGGTTGAATTATTATATTACTATTCCCAGGTTAAATTATTATATTACTATTCCTACATTAAATTATTATATCACTATTCCTAAGTTAAATTATTATATCACTATTCCTACATTAAATTATTATATTACTATTCCCAGGTTGAATTATTATATCACTATTCCCAGGTTAAATTATTATATCACTATTCCCAGGTTAAATTATTATATTACTATTCCCAGGTTGAATTATTATATTACTATTCCCAGGTTAAATTATTATATTACTATTCCTATTCCTAGGTTAAATTATTATATTACTATTCCTAGGTTAAATTATTATATTACTATTCCTAGGTTAATTAATATATATTACTATTCCTAGGTTATATTATTATATCACTATTCCTAGGTTATATTATTATATCACTATTCCTAGGTTATATTATTATATCACTATTCCTAGGTTATATTATTATATCACTATTCCTATGTTAAATTATTATATTACTAAATGCCTAGAAATCAAAGATTGAATTATTCTTATGAGTGTAAAAGTGAAAAAGTCTCACAGCATATTCAGCACTTACACTACAGAGGTGAAGATAAAACACTGAAAATCTGTGATAAACTCAAATGTTGATGAACCTTAAAGTAATAAAGACTTGCATGTTTTCTCAAAGTGATTAAACAAATCAACCAATTGTAATTTATTTCAGCCTGATTAGTTATTCAATTGCAACAAGAACCTAATTAGTAAAGTTTAGCTTCAATATTCTTACTGTTTTAATGTTATCTATTGTGTTTACAAATTTAAAATCTAAAAAACAAAATAAAAATCAGAATATTTTTAACACACTTTTACAGACAAACCTGAGCTTCTAATTTAGTGCGAGCATCACATTTGGGACCGCTACATAACTGTTCTAGTTCTTCAGCATGTTTCACAGCTTTCTGAAGTCGACTAACGAGATGAAAGCGCTTCCTTTGTTCAGTGTTGGCCTCTTGTTTTAGCTGCATGGCATATGCCCAGGCCCTCTCTGTCATCATTAACGATAAGTAGAGGTATCTACAACAATAAATGCAAACTGTATAGACGAAATAAAAATGATGCCACTAATAACACACATAACCATCAATGGACTTAGTGACAATGATTATAGCCCCAACAACTATTAGGTTTAATACACACACTCAGATCACTCTTTCGTCCCTTTATGATGGTTTTAACTTTTTCACAAATTGTTTAACACATTTCCTCCCAATGTTCATATTTTTTACACATTAGTTGTATAACTTAACATTACTGAATCAATATTAATATATATAATATCACACAGTGGCATGATATTTCTTCCTTTCGAAGAAGCCTACAGGTAAATGATAATCTCATTTCAAGTACTACTGTAATTTAATGCCCTAATTAAAAAACATTATAGTTAGTTTGTACTACATTATTTAATTTACCATTATATAGCAGCCCATTACGCTAAGTTTAAAACACAAGGATGCAGTGTTAGTTAATAATTTCATACAACATTCTCTGGTGGTTTAGGTTCATACAACATTCTATAATGACTTATATAGATTTCATATAACATTCTCTGGTGGTTTATATAGATTCCATACAATATTCTCTGGTGGTTTATATAGATTCCATACAACATTCCTGGTGGTTTATACAGATTTGATACAACATTCTCTGGTGGTTTATATAGATTTGATACAACATTCTCTGGTGGTTTATATAGATTCCATATAACATTCTCTGGTGGTATATATAGATTCCATACAACATTATCTGGTGGTATATATAGATTTTATACAACATTCTCTGGTGGTTTATATAGATTTCATACAATATTATCTGGTGGTATATATAGATTCCATACAACATTCTCTGGTGGTATATAGAGATTCCATACAATATTATCTGGTGGTATATAGAGATTCCATACAATATTCTCTGGTGGTTTATATAGATTCCATACAATATTCTCTGGTGGTTTATACAGATTTGATACAACATTCTCTGGTGGTTTATACAGATTTGATACTACATTCTCTGGTGCTTTATATAGATTCCATACAATATTCTCTGGTGGTTTATATAGATTCCATACAATATTCTCTGGTGGTTTATACAGATTTGATACAACATTCTCTGGTGGTTTATACAGATTTGATACTACATTCTCTGGTGCTTTATATAGATTCCATACAATATTCTCTGGTGGTTTATATAGATTCCATACAATATTCTCTGGTGGTTTATACAGATTTGATACAACATTCTCTGGTGGTTTATACAGATTTGATACTACATTCTCTGGTGCTTTATATAGATTCCATACAATATTCTCTGGTGGTTTATATAGATTCCATAC